CCCCTGGGCGGCAGCACAGACTGCAGGTCCACGGGCTCTTCCCACAGCCTCCTAATGCCACGGGCACATCCCCCGGGGCTCCCTAGCAAGGCCTGTGGCCCAGCTGCCCCGGGGCTCTGGAGACTGCTCTGTGCCAAGTGCCCCTGTACCCAGCTGGGCCCAGAGCCCCTCTGCATCCCTTTGGAGCAAGGCAGCACCTTTGCACTGCACCCAGCCCAGCCCAGATGGCTGCAGCCACAGCCCTGGTCCTGGATCGCATTCGCCCTCCCAACTGCCGTGTGGCGCGGGGAGCTCAGGTTCCCCGCGGCGTCATGCGGGTCGAGGCGCTGACCCAGTTCCGGGCACCGCGGGAAAGCGGCTGTTGCTGGTGCTGGCAGCCGGGAGCCAGGTTGGGCAGGGCTGGGATGGGCAAGAGCCTGGTCCCTGCAGGGCTGAAGGCAGTGGTGTGGAGGCAGAGGCTGGCGCAGGGGGGGGGGTGTGGTCCTGCCACAGGCATGGGGCTTGCTGGGCCCAGGGGCCTTCCCTCTGCACTCCTGACCTGGCTGCCGGGCCTGGGGGCTGGGGGCTGCTGCCCCGTGGCCATCCCCACCCTCCCCGTCCCTGGTTCCAGCCCCCCAGGTGCAGACCTGCTAGCTCAGCAGGGCCCTTGCTGTCTCTGGCCCTGCCCTAGTCCCAGGGCCCATGGGGGCCCAGCTGAGGGGTCTCGGGGGCAGCGGGCCACCCAGCTCCAGCCCTGACCCCAGCTCTGACAAGTGGGGCTCTGCAGCCCTGTGGAAGGGCCACGCTGGGCTTCTGTTGCCCTGCATCCTGCAGGCTGGGCCTGACCAACCTGGGAGCTGGAGCCAGAGCTGTCCCACTCCAGCCACGGCTCTGTGTCCAAGTGCCAGGAAACCCCAGACCCAGGCCTCAGCGTGGCCAGAGGGGGAGTAACCGTGGCCGGACAGGGGCTCCAGTCAGCCCTCTGCAGGGGCCCAGTGCTGTGGGCAGGGGTAGCTGTTCACACCCGTGACCCCATGCCCTGGGGCCTGGCAGGGCCATGCACAGCTTTGTGGTTCCTGGTCCTGGTTCAAATCCAGCCCTGCAGCCTGTGGAAGGGGCAGCACAGCGGGGATGGGCAGGTATGCCCCCCCACACCCCCCCAGTTCATCTGCCCCTGGTTCCCAGTGCCCTCCCCACCAGTGCCACTGTGCTGCGCTCCCAGCCTCTCTTCTGCCCTCCCCGTTCCCCTCCCGCCCTGGAGCCTGGGAACCAGGCCCTGGGTCTTTCCAGCCTGGCCTTGGCGAGGGGCCAGCCTGGGAGGCGTCTGCTCCATTGTCCCTGCTGACGGGGACCCTCCCCTTGCTGCCATAAATCAGCCTGGGCCTGGCCTGGCTCGGCCAAGCCTGGTGGGCGGAGGCCAAGGAGCAACTCAGAACTGGGGCAGGGAGCAGCAAGCACCCTGGGACCAGTGTGGACCCCAGTTCCTGGCCCTCCCCAGCCTGCTCCCGCCAGAGCTGCTGCGGAGGGGGAGGGTTGTCCCACGTGGGAGCTGCTTGCTGGGCCAGTGGCCTCAGTAAACAGGAAATCCACAAGTTGTTCCATCTCCTTTTTGGGAGCGAATCCTTGCGGGCCAGGCTGGGGATTCCTGCTCCGTTACTCATGCCACAGCCCCAATACCACGCCAGGCCATGTGCTGCAGGAGGCATCCTGGCCCCACTGACCTGGGGGTGTGTGCGGGGTCCCCGGGCTGGCTCAGGGCTGGGTGCTGGTGCCAGGTCTGGGCTGTGTTGTGTGGTTGAGAAGCATGCAGTACTCTGGGGCTGGAGGGGCCTGAATGTGCTGGTATCAGTGTGAGACCCTGGGGTGTCCTGCCTGTGGCGCGGGTCCCCAGCCTCAAGCATGTCCCTGTGGGGCTGGCAGGGGTAAGGGCACTTGGGCAGCACAGTGGGGTGGGCGACATGGCGTGCCTGCAGAGGCGAGCATGCAGGGACAGTCGGTATCTCTGGGGAAGCGGAGGAGGGGGTGCAGAGCTAGGAGCGTTTGGCACGGCCACCACATGTTCAGGGACAGGAAGACCCGTGTCCCCAGTGCCCGTTACCCCTGGGACTCGCTGCTGCCTGGTGCTGCACGTGATTTGGGGTGTTGGGGGGGGGGGCTCAGTGCCAGGCTGTGGAGGGTCCTTGGTGCTCAGCCGGTCTCCCAAGGGGGAGGCAGGCCTGGGGCACAGTCTGTGCCCCCCTGCAAATGTAGGGCCAGGTCTGGGTGTTCAGCCATCCCCAAGGCCGAGTCTGGGCAGGGCCCGGCAATGCTGAGGTGACCCTGGTGCTGCTTCCCCCCAGGCTGAGGCAGAGGTGGCCTCCCTGAACCGCCGCATCCAGCTGGTAGAGGAGGAGCTAGACCGGGCCCAGGAGCGCCTGGCCACTGCGCTGCAGAAGCTGGAGGAGGCAGAGAAGGCAGCTGATGAGAGCGAGAGGTGAGTGGCGGGGACAGGAGGTGCCCCCAGGATGCTTCTCACCCCCCATCTCCCAGCGACCAGGTTCCTGCCCAATCCTATCCTGGGGCTTTGGGTCTCCGGGGCAGCCACAGCTTGGGGGTTAGGGTTTGGGTTGCCAGAGGCTGACGGCCTTTTGGGTGACCAAGGCCATTTGGGGTCCAATAGGTCTTCTCTCTCCAGAGCCAGCAGCTTCTAGTGTAAAGGTCCCCAGTGTCCCCAGAGCAATGTGTGACCCTGCAGTGGCAAGAAGGGTGGCCTGTCCTGCATCCTCTGACCCTCCTGTGGGGCATTGACTGCATCATCCTTACACTCCAGAGTCACTGCCCTAACACTGTTCTGGCACGAGGGCGGGGAAGATGGAGAGACAGGCAAAGGGGAGCGAGGGTGTGGCTGTGGGAGGCTGGGAGGGAGGAGAGCAGAGGGCAGGATGAACTCAGGCCATTGGGTAAATTATACCTGAGCATGGCGAGGAGCCAGTCCTGGCCATGGGAACCTGGCTAGTGCCCCGCTCGCCCTGGCCAGGCGAGAGGCTGCACTCCTGCAGGCGCCTCAAAGGACAGACATGGGGACCAGCCCGTGGCTGTGCTGAGGCATGGCTGCCAGCCCTCACCCTGCCCTGGGGATGCAGCTACATTGCTGGGCCGTGAGCCTACACCAAGGGGCCGTGCCAGCTCCGGGACGCTAGCTTGGGCTCTGTCAGCTCCTCCCCTGCCCATGGCACTGTAGGTCCTGGTGCCACCCCATCACTCGCTAAGCAGAAGCTCCCTAAGGAGGGAGATGGCCTGGGTCTGCTGGGGGCCGTGGGTATGGGTGGGTCTCCTGCTGGGGCTGCTCTGGCAGGCTGGAGGTACGTGGGGTGAGCCGTGTGCTGCATGGGTCGTGGCAGTGATGGTCGGGTCTGGGTTCTCATCAGGGGCATGAAGGTCATCGAGAACAGGGCCATGAAGGACGAGGAGAAGATGGAGCTCCAGGAGATGCAGCTGAAAGAGGCCAAGCACATAGCGGAGGAGGCCGACCGCAAATACGAGGAGGTGAGCATCCGACCACAAGCCCTGGGGCCACAGCTCCCGTCAAGGGGCCTGTGCCCAGATCCCTGGGTCTGCCCCTGACACCCCTTCCCCGGGGAGAGCTCCAGAGAGAGCAGAGCCCACCGAAGCAGCTCCTGCCGTGGGGTCCCCTGTCCAGCCCACGTGGTACCCTCTCTCCTCATTGCCTGCACCTCTGCAGCCAGGCCATGCGCCTGCCACTAGGGACACCACTCATTGCACCCCCGGCCTGTGTGCTGGGGGGTCCCTGCCACCCTTCCTCATTCATGCAGACGTACGCGTGCGCTGCCCCTGGGCCCCACATGACCCTGGCTGTGCGCATAGGCACCTGGGGTAACCTGCCCCTCTGCTGTTGCTGACAGGTTGCCCGCAAACTGGTGGTCATTGAGGGGGAGCTGGAGCGCTCTGAGGAGAGGGCAGAGGTTGCAGAGAGGTGAGTGGCAACGCCCGCAAGATCTGGGGGGGATCGACCACATGATGATTGCAGGCCCAGTGGCCGCCTCCACCCCCAAGCTGTGCAGGGACCCCAGTCAGGCACTAGCCTGGGAGCCCAGTGCTGCTAGTCCACCCAGCCCAGCTGGCCTGGGCTCCAAGGGTTCCTGGGGCTGGGCCTGGCCCAGGACCCCTGCACTTCCTGCCTGGCCACCAGACCTGCCCCACGGCTGTTCTGTCCTGTCTCGTCCTCTTGCCCAGCTGGGGCCCAGGTGTGAGGAGCGAGTGTTTGACCATGTTCTCTGCTCGGTTCCCCACCTCCCCACGATGCCCCCTCCCTGCAGCCGTATGAGGCAGCTGGAAGAAGAGCTGCGGACCATGGACCAGACCCTCAAGTCCCTGATCGCCTCAGAGGAAGAGGTACTGGGCAGGGCCGGGAGATGCTGCTTCCTCTGCCCCTCTCTGTTCCTCTGGCCTCCTCTCTCCCCTCATCTCTGCACAAGGATCTCGGCTTCCTGCTCCTCACTGTCCTGCAGCTGCCTTGGGCCTGGGCCCTGGGGCAGACGGGTGGAGGCAATGCCTGGAGCTGGGTGCTGGTGTGGCCGCACCTGGAAGCCTCATGGCCTGTCCTCCCCAGTCTGGCCCCCCATTGCAGCCCTCTGGGGCTATGGAAGGAGAAACCTCTGGGTTGGGGTTCGCATCGGTGATGGTTACAGGTTCCCATGTACCTGTCCTGGCCACAGCTGAACAGGTGACCCACCCAGGCCTTTGCCCCTGCCCACAAAGCAGCCTGCTCCCCTGGGCTGTATGTGTGCATGTGGCTGCTGGACTCTCCTGGACCTGAGTGGCTGCAGGAGAGCAAGGACGACTGTCACAAGGGCACCAGACATGTGGACGCAGGGCACGGGCCATGGCAGCTGTCGCTTCCTCTCCACCCAATTGCACCGGTTTCTGTCCTCTGAACTTGTTCTCTTTTTCTCTCCTTTCCTTCCTTCCTTCCTTTGCTCCCTGCTCCCTCTCTGCTGTCCTCTCCCATGCTGTCTCCTCTGCTGTCCCTTGCCCCTGGGATGTAGTAAATGTGGGGACCTAGAGGAAGAGCTGAAAATTGTCACCAACAACTTGAAGTCCCTGGAGGCCCAGGCCGACAAGGTAGGAGCCGGCCTGGCAGCAGTGCCTGCCCCTGGGGCTAGGAGGGGGTGAGCGTTGGGGGGCAGAGTCCCTGTGCAAACGGGAGCCCGGTGCTGCAGGGCTCACACGTGTTTCTCTCCACAGTACTCCACCAAGGAAGACAAATACGAGGAGGAGATCAAGATTCTAACAGAGAAACTGAAAGAGGTGAGAGGCCCTGGAGCAGAGTGGGGAGGGCATGGACCCTGCCTGGGCACCTGGACCAGTGGCCACCCTGGGTCAGCAAGCCCAAACCTGGGTGTATCCAGACCCTTGTCCACAGTTCCTATCACCCCTGCAGTGGGCAGGTGACCCACATGCCTGCAGGGGCCAGCCCCAGCCCTGGGCACCAGGGTGGGGTAGGTGCCACTGTTCTGGAGTGGAGCCAGATTGCTGCCGGCCCTGTGAGGGGCAGAGCCAGGGTCTGAACCCCACTCTGTCTGGGGTTCCAGAGCTGAAAGACTGCCGCAAGACTGGCAGGGGGGTCCAGGTCCACCCAGACCTTGGATACAGCAAATCAGGAAGAATCCGCTCCCAAGAGACTGGGAAGCAAGTCCCAGGGTGGGTGCAGACAACCTGGCAGTACCCAGTGCCAGGACAAACCAGGTCCAGTCCTGCATCGGGATCCATGCATGCGCAGTGCTGGTCCGGGGCCTGCTCCTGCCTGCCGCAGCTGCCACCCCCCGTTGGCCCTGGAGCTGACACCCATTTCCCACTGCAGGCTGAGACCCGAGCGGAGTTTGCAGAGCGCTCGGTGGCGAAGCTGGAGAAAACCATTGATGACTTGGAAGGTAACGCACCCCTGATGAGTAGAGCTGTTCCCGGGTCTCAGACCCCCGGGCATGTGCCCAGTCTACTTCACTCATGCTCGCAGGGAGGGGGCAGGGCGCTGAGGGGTGCCAGACAGGTGAGGAGGGTCTGCCCTGGCCATAGCAAGGCATGTGGGGGACCCCAGGGTGCAATGGGGCTACATGGAGGATGGAAGCAGTTTTTGCAGCCATGGGGAACGGGGTGGGGGGCCGTGACTAATGTGGCAGCATGGGGGAGCTTGGGTCAGGGTTGGGAAGGAACCCCTGCCCCTGAGGGTAGAAACTGGCCCCCAGAGCAGCTGTACTGCCCCATTGGGGGAATTGGACTGGGGTGGTTCAGACAGGGCTGATTCTGGGCCGGGCAGACCCCTGGCGGGCCCAGCAGGCGGGTTGGCCCAGGGCACAGGCCGCAGGAAGGGGTGATGGGGGAACGTGCTGGGGAGGAGGTGGGGAGCGCGGGGCCCCTGGCAGCCACGGGGGCCTTGCCTGCCCGTGCCAGGTCTGTGTGTGTGTGAGCACGTGTGGCCTGCCCCTGCCCCAGCCCCGTCCCCCTGCACTGGGGTCTCTCACTCTCTCACATTCACTCTCTCTCTTTCTCCCACCACTCCCTGCCCCCCGCACCCCCACTGTCCTGCTCCGCCCCACACTGTGCCCCTGCGCCCTCCTCCTGCCTGCAGACGAGGTGTATGCCCAGAAGATGAAGTATAAGGCCATCAGCGAGGAGCTGGACAATGCACTTAACGACATCACCTCCCTCTGAGCCACTTGCGCACCAACGCCCTGCTCTGCCCTGCCCGTCTGTCCATCCGTCCTGCCCCCACCTGCCTGCCTGCCCGCCCCTGGGTCACCCTGGCTGCTCCCCACCCAGCCCCCCTGCCTGCCTGCCTGCCTGTCCATCTGTCTGTCCTCTCTCTATGTCTTCAGGCCCCAGTGCTGTCAGGTGTGAGTGCTCAGGCGAGGGGCTGGGAAGCTCCTGGGGGGTAGGGGGGAGACCTGCTTTGTGTTGCTGCCTCCTGTCCAGGGATTCCCCCTCTGTCAGCCACAGCCTGGGGGAGGTGCTGGGTGTAGGGGCCCACTGGTACAGCAGGAGGGGCCCCCACCGCCTGCCCTGCTGGGAGGCCAAGCCCTGGGGCTCAGGGCAGCTGTGCAGGGGGCAGGGGAAGCAGGAGCCATAGCCCAAGCAAGGTGCTCACAGTGGGGCTGGGAGGGGACGACTGGGGCTCCGTGTCATCCAAGCACATCCGCCTGCTCAGCCACTGTTGGGGCTGACCTGGCCAGAAGCCACGTCCCTGCTGTGGTGGGGTGGGGGCTGCCCTGGTGCTGCTGCATCCTCTGTCCTCTGCCCATCGCTGTTTCATTTGCATCTCATGACTTTTCCTTTCTCTTCTGTCCCACTGAGTTGGTCTCAATAAAGCATTCTCTTTCCTCCGTTTCTCCTTGGTTTCTTCATGCTGCTGCCTCCCTCCCCCTGCTCCTACTCTCATTTCCACTGCTGTCTCATTCTCATGCCTGCCCTTGGCCTAGGAGGGAGCCCCGGGGCAGGACAACAGCTCCTGCGAGGGCCCACACTCGTGGGGTCAATCCTTCTTCCCTGTCCTGTGACTCCATCACTGCTGATGTGGTCCTATCCCCTGCTCTGCCCAGGAGTTGCCCCAGACACAGCTCCTGTCAGCCTGCCTGGCCCCTGCCCCAGTGCCTGGTGGGGGACAGTACCGGTGTCTCCTTGAAGAGGGGAAACTCCCCCGTGGGGTTCAGCTTTGCACTCTTGGCCCAGAGCTCAGCTCAGTGTCAGTTTGGATCTCCCCCATGCAGTCTGCCCCACCACGGGAACGGGTTCACCCCAGCCAGGATGAGCTAAACCCCCACCCAGATCTGCCTCTCGCTGCAGGCTCTCTCCAGGCCACACTGCTTCTCCTTTGAGGCAAACACAGGTCCCTGCCTGGCTCTGGTCTCCGCTGATGTGACTTTCTCTTGCACTAACGTGACTTTCTCTGCACTAACACTCTCCTCTCTTTCTCTCTCTTTCTCTTTCTCTGCTGCTGCTGCTGCTGACACCTCTGTTTTCCATAGAGCGCTCCCGGCAGGAGGCGGAGAAAAACCGTGTTCTCACTAATGAGCTGCGGGTCATCCTTAATGAACTTAACAACTGAGCAGGGAATCCGTGCCCCAGCTCCCTGGCTCTGCTCCTGCCATTGGCCTGTGCCCGCTGGGTTGAACCCTCCTTGGCCCCCTGCCTCTCCGACCACAGCCCAGGCTGCACCGATGCCACGTTCCCGCCCAGTGCCACAGGCTCTGCCCACTCCCTCCTGTTGGCTCTGGGCTTGCTGCCTTGCACCGCAGTCAGCCTGTGGCTCTGTGCGCCCCGGAAAGGAGCCTGTCCTTGCCACGGCCAGACCCAGAGGCCCCTGCCCTGTTGGGCAGCCCCAGCGTGGGACGGGATGCCCAGCTGGCTGAGAACCCTCAATCCTGCCTGCCCAAGTGCAGGGCCCCCCAGTCGGAGGATGGCAGCAGCCCGTCTCCACCTGGCACAGCCAGGAATTCCTTAACAGGCCACGCGCGGGCAGAGCTCTCTTCTGACCACAGCCAGCCCTTGCAGGCCCTGCCTCTCCCAGGGTTGCTCCAGGGTGGCGGTAGGACTGTGGACTGACAGGGAAGAGCTCCCTGCTACCCTGGGGGGGTCGGATTCGATGATCTATTGAGGTCCCTTCTGACCCTAACATCTATGAATCTATGAAAACCTAGCCCCAGCCAGGGGGCTGTGGGGCAAGACCAGGGGCTCTTGATGGGGTGCCCAGCTGGAGGGTTTTTCTCTTTTTCAAGGAAAGTTTTTTGTGTTCCAAGCCAAATCAGTTCCAAGTCTGTGAGTCATTCGAGAACCATAAGTGACCCTGTTACCAGCAAACAGCCTCCACTCCCACCTGGGGCTTCAAATGCTTCTAGATAATTTGGCAGGCATCCTGTGTGCAGGCCCAAGCCCAGAGGCTTAGGGTTCAGATGCCCCCAAGTTTCACTTGCCCTCAACCATATGGCCACAGGAGCAAGCTAGCAGGAGGTGCTGTAGAAGCAGGGCAGGGATGCTGGCCAGGAGAGAGACTTCCAGCTGCTCTGGCCCTAGCCTGCCCCACCAGGGCAGAGGCTGTAGAGCTCAGGATGGGACTACCCTGGTGCACTGACATGTCAGGGAGTCGGACAGTGCTCTAAGCTGCTCCTGGCCTGGCCTCTCCCAGGACTGGGTGCGGCAGGGAGCCCGGGGCCCTCGACCCCCATCTCCCAGCGCTGGGCGTTGTGCGGCGCCCGGGGCCCTCGACCCCCATCTCCCAGCACTGGGCATTGTGCGGCGCCCAGGGCCCTCGACCCCCATCTCCCAGCACTGGGTGCTGCAGGGAGCCTGGGGCCTTTGATCCTGCTGTCTGGCAGGGGGGCCACGGGCTGTCTGCGCAGGCTGCCCCAGCCCACTCTGTGCAGGACAGCTAGAAGTAGTCCTGCAGCTCCGTTCTTTCTGCTGTCCTGTCCTGTCCTGTCCTGTCTGCCTCTCCTGAGCTGCTGTCTCGCTCCTGCTCCGCGTGGATCAGCTCAGGGCAGGGCCCCTCCTGTGCTGGCCCTGGGCTCTGCAAGGTAGGACGCGCTGTGGAGGGACTGGGCCCTGCTAGGGAGGTGCTGAGAGGGTCAGCTGTGCTCCGATCCCCACTTAGTCTCCCAGCTGCTGCGGCCGGGCCGCTCTGCCAGGCGGGCAGCGCGCTGCTGCCAGAGCACCGCTGCGCCCCAGGCGCTGCTCCGGGCATGTGGCCATTGCACTGACGTGTGCATTCGTGTGTGTGTGTGTGTGTGTGTGCGCGCGTGGCTGGGTGTGCGTGTCCGGACGATGGTGTGGTGCCGCACGGCGTGTCTGGCCGGGTGCGTGTGGGCGTCCCTTGTGCTTACAGAGAACCTGGCCAGTGCCAAAGAGGAGAACGTGGGCATCCACCAAGTGCTGGACCAGACCCTGCTGGAGCTCAACAACCTCTGAGCCGCCCGCGCGGCTGCAGGGCACGGAGCGCCGCGCCGCGCCGCGGCCAAACGCACACCCGGGACGAGGGCGCCGCGCCGCGCCGCGCCGGCCCAGGGCGCCCGGACACCCGCCCCGCCTCTTCCCTCATTAAAGCAGTTTGACAAACGCTGGCTGGCCGTGTCTGTGCTGGGGGCGGCGGAGCCCC